GTAAAACCACGAGGCATACAAAAAAAGAACTAGGTTGTATAACGTGGCAAATAAAAAAGAAAAGGGTGGGGACCAATAATTGAGAAGGGGGAAAGGGAGCGGGCAGGACAGTACAGAACTAGAAACAGATGGAGAGATAAAGAGAGAGATCAAGACAGAAGCCAGCAGACGCTTCTAGGCAGGGTACAAAACCGGACTTCATTACTCTGCTGGGAACAAAGGGGCGCCCTCCAGATTTCGAAAGGGGTTTTCGCACCTACTTAAAGGTTAAGAGCACTTGTCTTCTTAAGGTCCCTCTTTCCTTAATTTTTCAAAGAAGCTTTTTTACAAACTGACTTCCTGTGCTAAAATTCAGGGCTTAGCACATTTCATTTTGAAGAGAATACGAATTATTCAAATGATCTTTAAAAAAACACTTCACTTTGTGTCTTTTGAGGATATGGCTACACATTTTTAAGTCGTACATTGAGTTTTCAAAGTTACGAGCTAGAAGAGGATGGACCCTTGCGGGGGATGTTGGAAGGAGGGACGTGAACTTCAAGGGCAGTATAGCTGGCGTCTTTTGAACTGCACATCCCACCCATTCTATTCTCTGGAACTTTCCATGGCCCCAGCTCCTGGTGAATGGGTGAGCAGAGCCTAGCTGCACATGGCCTGGCCTCTCTGGCCAAGCTAACTGGACCAGGGGGAGACACCTTTCCCAACCAGGACCAATTAGGTCTCCCTGAGAATCGGGATTTGGCTTCCAATGAGCTGGTGAAGGGGCTGGCATGGGGATAATATATAAAATTCATAGGCAGAAGGTGTGGGCATTCTCCCACCAGGCTTTCTGTGCCTGGCGAGAGTGAGGAGGCCAGGAAAGCCGGCCTGCAGAAGATCAGGAGAGTGGTAGAGCAGGTAGAGCCAGACAGCTGTGTCCAAGTCCCAGGTCCACCACTCAACAGCTATGACCTTGAACGTTCCTGGATATCTCCTTGACCTAACTGTAACCTGCTCCATAGGGCTCTGTGAGGATTAAATAAGTGAACACATACAGCACTTAGGACAGGGTCTCACATGTGATGAGTGCTGGCGAACTGTGAACTATTATCATCTTGCTAAACTGTAAGCTCACGAAGGTGAGGATTTCTGGCTATTATGTTCATACCATATCTCAGAATCTAGAACCATGCCTGGTACATAGCAGCGCTCAACAAGCGTTTGTTGAGTGGTCAGAGAATGAAGAAGTCCTAAAAGGACAGAGACCACGGACAGAGCCTCCTCACTCTACTCCTTATTGCAGATCCTACCCCCAAAAGGAGCAAT